TACATTTCTGGGGGATGTAGATCCTGGTACCCTTACATTTCTGGGGGATGTAGATCCTGGTACCCTTACATTTCTTGGGGAAGTAGATCCTGGGGGAAGTAGATCCTGGTACCCTTACATTTCTGGGGGAAGTAGATCCTGGTACCCTTACATTTTTGGGGGATGTAGATCCTGGTACCCTTACATTTCTGGAGGAAGTAGATCCTGGTACACTTACATTTCTGGGGGAAGTAGATGCTGGAAAATTCCCAAATTCCATGTATTCATTTATTGTTATTTAACAAGGGTAACTTTAAATATTGTTATGTGAGGAAAACATATTGTAATATTTTGCATACTTACAAAGTCTAAGTCTCCATATTTTGAGGGAGACTCTTGAATATATCCTCATTTTTATGGGGGTATTTTTTTTATATCGGGTGAACGGTTCATCTTACTTTTTGCTAAAACTACATTATTCAATGTCTTGTGAATTATCCCATTAAATCAAACAGAGTGTTGTTTATAGTTGCATCGAATAACACTGTGACATGGCTCTGTTCCAGACGTGATTGTGATCTCACCATCATGGACGACCTATAAACCCCAGACCAAGCTGGCCCATCACATTGCCTATGTGATAGAGACTAGCATGGAAACTGACTGGAAAATCACACCAGCACACGTCCATCAGGTATGGCACTATATATCAATAATAAATATAATAATAATATACAGCATTTATATAGCGCCCTATATAATTTGTAAAATTACTCTAAGGCGCTTTACAACATATTGATAATAGTAATGGTTATAATTGTGAAAACAAACAACAAAGTCTTGCAATCACTTGCATACATTTAACAAGCAATGTGCACATAATTGAACAAATAAAAGGGTGGTATTTACATGACGTCTTTGCAAAGATTCTAAAATGCAGACGTGAAGAGGTGAGTTTTTATGTCCCTCTTGAACTTGGCCAGGGTATTCGACTTCCTAATAGCAGATAGTAAGCTATTCCACAACGTAGCCGAAACCCTCCCAAAGCATCTGTTTCCGTAGGTCACAGTACAAGATTTTGGGACACACAACAAAGATTCTGACTCCGACCGCACTGATCTTGACGGCTGATACAGGGTAACAAGTTCCTGTAGGTACTGAGGGGCTGTTCCATTCAGTGCCTTGTATGTGTATACCAGAATTTTGTACTGCGACCTGTATCGTACAGGTAACCAGTGCAACGAATAAAGCGCAGGGGTGATGTGCTCTCTCTTTCGGTAACAACAGTGCAGTGAGACAGAGATCCTTAAGGGGAGGGAACTGTATTTATCCCCGTCCCCCTGCACTGTTTTTCCTATATAAAGTTGCCTCCCCTTAATGATCCCTGTCCCACTGCACTGTGTTTATTCTTATATACAGTTACCTCCCCTTAAGGACCCCTGTCCCACTGCACTGTTTTTCCTATATAAAGTTACCTCCCCTTAATGATCTCTGTCCCACTGCACTGTGTTTATTCCTATATACAGTAACCTCCCCTTAAGGATCCCTGTCCCACTGCACTGTGTTTTTCATATATACAGTTACCTCCCCTTAAGGATCACTGTCCTACTGCAATGTGGTTTTCCCTATATACAGTAACCTTCCCTTAAGGATCCCTGTCCCACTGCACCGTGTTTTTCCTATATACAGTAACCTCCCCTTAAGGATCCCTGTCCCACTGCACTGTGTTTTTCCCTATATACAGTTACCTCCACTTAATTTCTGTTTTGATGCAAGTGTAGCATTGTTAGTGGTAGCTTATTTAGTCAGAGCACTATCTGAAGTCCAGGGTTCGAAACCCGGTGTAGTCCTGCTGAATATTTCATTGTGAATTGAACCTGCATGAAGAAACCACCTGTGTTAAGAGACCACTGTTTGGACGGCCAATGGGTGTCTTTATACAGCATTATGTTCTAGAAAGTAGGTAAAGAGACGTTCTGTTTTGTTAAAATCAGTTGGCAAACTATATCAAACAGAGTCAGCAGACAGCAGATATCTTGTTAAATAAACATAAATAACCTTCAACGACATATACACAGACTTAATGCAAAATAGGAAGTGTTCATGAAATGAGAAAAAAAAACTGTATTTGTACAAGCAGGTACATGGTTGGGAGTTCTATTATGCCTACTGTGGTAGAAACACACAGGTAATTCTATCTGTACCAGGACCTAGACGATCCCCACTAACTGGTTATGTAACAGAAGTGTCCTTGACTATCAATCAGCCTTGCCCCTAGTGTATACATAACTTCTCTAGATCTGGCATTTCTACGATGGCTGACAGTGGCCAGACAGTTAAGAAGTGTACTGTGGAACACTTTTGCATGGTACCAACTTTTGATCAGTTTTGATATTAAAAGTGAACCATGGTACATACGCACTTTAGTGTGGGTTCATGTGCAGCAAGTAGAAATTGACACATAGAGGAAGTTGTCCTCTTATGACTACATATAGGCTGTACCTATATTACACATGCTGATATTTTTATGAAATGTAAATCAGCTTCATTGTCATGCTTGAAACCAACCATTTTTATTTTTTTCCATCTTTTGTATTTTTTACCTGTTGGTTTAAAAGTATTTCGAAAGAATGAATTTAAAAATAACAACAAGGCCCGTATTCATGAAACTGCTCTCATGCTTAAACTCCAATTCTGGGCCTCAAGCCCAATTGTGAGTTGCGAAAAGGTTCGTTTGTGCACAGAATTCATGCTTGAGCATGACATTGGTTTCGTGAATGTTGGCCCAGGGCCGGTATTCATGAAATCGTTATCATGCTCAAGTATGGATTCTGTGCTCAAACCAACTTTCTTGTAACACCCTTAATCATGTCAACGATCAAAAAGTCAAATGTAAACATTGAAAACAGTATTTGGCTTTAAGTCTCTTCAAATGTTTTCAAAATCATTGACAGAATAATGTTTGTTTAGGAATTTATAACCAACACAAGAATTTAGACTTAGCAACATATCCACACTTGAGCATGAGGACGGTTTCGTGAATGCGGGCCCTGGACTTTTTGATTGCCATTTGCCTTTTGTTTACAGATATTTATGATCCCTATCTATATTTTGTTACATGTTTTGTTTATCACCAGTTGATCAAGGAAAACAACTTGAAGAAGAACCGACTGTTAATCTTCAACAACCCAGATAATCCGAGTGAGTATCTGTGTATAGTTGTCGTGTTACTAATTACAGATACATTATACATAAATAGAATACCCCGACCTTGACACCCGGACCCCTCGTAAATCTCTTGTCAGCAAGATAAATAAAAATAATCTGGGGGAATGTTCTTAGCAGATTGGCCTGAATAACGGCTATTAGGCCAAAAAAATATGTGTTTCCAGTTTTCCTACCGACCCTAGATTTTTGTGTCCACCCTAAAGTTTTTGGTATTTACCGGGGGATAGTGGTAAGCACCGTTACAGTCAGAACTCCTGCTTTATATAAGCACTGTTACAGTCAGAACTGCTGCTTTATATAAGCACTGTTAAAGTCAGAACTCCTGCTCTATATAAGCAACGTAAAAATATATTAAAAAAAACAACATTTGCCTAACTACTGATCAAAAAAAAATTAAGCAGAAACGGAAAACACACTTTTTTTTTTGGTCTTACAGTATTTAAAAATAGAAGCAATTCTTCAAGAGAGTTCTTTAAGAGAGTAAATACAGTTGATTCTAATTTAAACCATGTATTGAAAGAGTGAAAAATTGACATAAATGCATGTACAATTTTGAAATTTTGAAATCATTCATTATTAACCCAACATTTATAATCCAATGCCTGATGTCAATGTAAATGTGATTGTATTTTGATTTGATGTAGGAAGTATTGTCAGTGATATTTAAGATGGTTTATGTGTTGGATTTGTTACCATGTGAGTTTCCTTTCAGCTGGAACCAGCTATAATCAGACAGAACTCAAAGCACTCAGGTAACCCTGACACTAGTTGTTCCTATTGCAACCATATAAACATAACGATTTGGGTTGCTATGGAAACTAAAACAAATTGTGGCAAATTTGGTAATTTAAGAAAATTCAAGAAAAATCATGTACAAATAACTTAACTTTAATCTAACTTTCTGATAAAGATGTATTCTCTGTATTCAGTTTTATCTTCACAACATACTGGTATCTATACCAGATTTTGTTCATTTTTGTTACAGATTCAAAACTATGGTTCAATATCTATGTTTATCACTCCCCTCAGGTTCCTGGGGTGGGGGGACTATTTGATGTTTGCACTCTGTATGCACATCTGTCCTTCTGTCTGTCCAAAGAATTTGACCAGGAAATATTTATTTTTCTAGTTAACCAGGAGTCTTGGGATTGTGGAATGTAGAGTACAAGTGGTAGGTCACTGTGACCTATGCTTGACCTTTGACCTCAGCCTTTAAAAAAGTTTGCCCGGGGCATATCTTTTGTACTGTTTCACCTGAAGTTACAAGATGTAGTATAAACGTACATATTTGGATGGCAGAATGCAGACTTTGAGAAGTAGGTCACTGTGACCTCTGCTTAGACCTTTGACCTTAACCTTTCAAAAAGTTTGTTATGAGCATACCTTCAAGTACAACATATTATTTCTTGTGAAACAACCAGATTATGTATGCAAGTACATTTTGGGATGGCGGATTGAAGAGTATGAGAAGTAGATGTCTGTGACCTATGCTTTGACCTTTGACCTTAGTTTTTGAGAATACCCCTGCAAATAAAAGTACATCGTATGTAGATATGCATGAATAATTAGTGTTTTGACGGTTTTTCCTGGAGTTATGGCCCTTCAAACTTTCCATTCCAGAAACGTTGTAAGCGAAACTCCATCTTAATAGCTTGATGGAATGTTAACTTGGTACAGTTAATGTACTCTGGTACAGATACTGTACCCTGGTACAGATACAGTACCCTGGTACAGATACAGTACCCTGGTACAGATACTGTACCCTGGTACAGATAATGTACCCTGGTACAGTTAATGTACCCTGGTACAGATACTGTACCCTCAGCCTGGTACAGATAATGTACCCTGGTACTTATCTTTTATGTTATGGAGATATAACACAAAACAAGAGGCCCAAGAGGGCCTGTATCGCTCACCTGAATATTTAAGCAGTCATAGCAAAATATTCTCATTATATATTATATTGCACTAAAAATATTTCCCTCGCAAACTTTGTTGGCTCCATCTGTTGAAACTACCAGCAAAATATTATTATAAGATTCTATGCTTTTTGATTCTTCTTCAGAAGTTGCTGACATATTTTTCCCTGTGATCTTGTAAGTAGGTCAATGTCATTTTCCTTCTCAAATTGGTTAGCTCTATTCCAAAAAGCTACCAGCCAAATCTTATGAATCCATTCCTTTTAGTTCTCAAGAACAAATCCATTAAAATGTTGTTGACCTCTGTGACCTCTAAAGTAGGTTGAGGTCATTTTCATTTGCAAACTTTGGTGAGCTCTATCCCGGGAAGTCACCAGCCAAATATTATAATTTTATGCCTTTTAATTCTTCAGAAGAAGCTGTTTGAACTGTTTGACATATTTGAACGCTGTGACCTTGAAAGTAGGTCAAGGTCATTTTCATTCGCAAACTTTGTTTGGCTCTTTCCCAGGAAGCCACCTGCCAAATATTAAGATTTTATAACTACAAGTTCTTCAGAAGAAGTCATTTGAAGCTTTTTACATATATGCCTCATGTGACCTTAAAAGAAGGTCAAGGTCATTTTCATTCTCAAACTTTGTTCGGCTCTTTCCTAGGAAGCTACAAGCCAAATATAGAGATTATATACCTTTCAGTTCTTCAGAAGAAGTCGTTTGAAGTGTCTGACACATTTGACTCCTGTGACCTTGAAAGAAGGTCAAGGTCATTTTCATTCTCAAACTTTGTCGGGCTCTATCCAAGGAAGCCATCAATCAAAAATAAAGATTCTATACCTTTCAGTTCTTCAGAAGAAGTCATTTGAAGCTTTTGACATATATGACCCCTGTGACCTTGAAAGTAGGTCAAACTAGTTTTCATTCTCAAACTTTGTTGGGCTCTATCCCAGGAAGCCACCAGCCAAATATAAAGATTATATACCTTTCAGTTCTTCAGAAGAAGTCGTTTGAAGTGTTTGACACATTTGACCCCTGTGACCTTGAAAGAAGGTCAAGGTAATTTTCATTCTCAAACTTTGTTGGGCTCCATCCAAGGAAGCCATCAGCCAAATATGAAGATTCTATACCTTTTAGTTCTTTAGAAGAAGTCGTTTGAAGTTTTTGACATATTTGACCCCTGTGACCTTGAAAACAGGTCAAGGTCATTTTCGTTCTCAAACTTTGTAGGGCTTCTACCAACGAAGCTTTCAGCCAAATATCATGACTCTAGGCCTGTCTGTTCTTCAGAAGAAGTTGTTTAAAGGAAAAGTTGACGGACGAGGACGGACGGACGGACGGACGACAGATGGACGATGGACGCCGCGCCACGGCATAAGCTCACTTGGCACTTCGTGCCAGGTGAGCTAAAAATGGAGTGTACTCTCATCATAAACCGCTTTGCGGTTTATTTAGAGTACACTCCGTTTTTTGTGTTATATCTCCATAACATAAAAGATATATTCAAGTTAATCCTTAAGTAAACATGCATTATGAAAGGAATTTGTGATTGGATAATTTTTCCTGGAATGCCCTTGAAACTTGAAACATTTTTAAGCGCAAGCAGGGGGTATATCTTTGTGAGCTCACTTACAGTTTCTCTAGTTTATTTTTGTGAGCTCACTTTCAGTTTCTCTAGTTTATTTTTGTGAGCTCACTTTCAGTTTCTCTAGTTTCCCTATATTTTGTTTCAGTAATGTCTTCCGTGAACATGACATCCTGGTGTTGAGTGATGAAATCTATGGCCGCCTGCATTACGATCAGAATCATGTTTCTTTAGCAAAGGTCAGTCTTACAGTGTCTAGTCTGTGATAGTTACTTACTCAGGAATAAACCCACTCATGTTAAAGATTCTACAGAAAACAAGCCATTATCGTCTCCCACTGGTACTACAGGATAGGGCGATAAGCCTGCATTCTGTCAGATCACAACTTCTGTCAGAGTATGACAGTATCACACACTGTCAGATCACAACTTCTGTCAGAGTATGACAGTATCACACACTGTCAGATCACAACTTCTGTCAGAGCATCACATTGTCGAAGGCAAATTTCTATTACCAACAATTGGCGAATGTTGTGTGTGTGTACCTCTTGGGATAGCGGTTTATCGAAGATTAAAAGTAATCTTGTTTAAAACAGATCTACGATGTACACTTTGTTTGTAATTCTGTGTGGGGCCTATTTTATATACTGTGTCACGTACAAATGCCAAATTTTGCTTGCGAATACCTCTTGGCATGACCGACTGTTGCATACTTAAATCAGGTCTCAAGCATCACTATATTTGGAATTGAGAACCTCTTGTTATTTTCATACTTTAGTCCGGGGGGGGG